AAAAAAAAAAAAAATCTCCTTCCCTCCTTTCTTCCTTCCTTTCTCTGAGAGCGAGCGAGCAAGCAGAGGGGGAGAGAGAGGGGCACGCAGACTCTGTGCTGAGTTCAGAGCCCAACACAGGGCTCGATCCCACGACCCTGAGATCATGACCTGAGCCAAAATCAAGAGTCTGATGTTTAACCGACTTGAGCCACCCAAGCATCCTGAAAAGATTATAATTTTTAATGAATTATTCCTGAGCAGCAAATCTTTTTGCTACAGAAAAGATCTGGACATCTTGTATAGATTCAAAAAAGAATAATTTAGTAAGACTACAAATTATAAAAACTTTCTAAAATATCACCAAACATTTTAATAGAAGATACATTATCAAGGATATTTTAAAAGAAATCCTTGCACTGAGAGACATATTTGTGTAAACAGCCTTAAGGTCACTTTTTTTACACTATCACTTAAAAAATTTACATAAAACCCACATTTTTGAAGTGTACAATTCAGTGGTTCTTAGTACCTTCAAAAGGATGTGTAATTAGCACTATGATCTAATTCCAAACATTTTCATCACTTCAAAAAGAAACCCACTACCCATTAGCAGCCATTCCCCTTCTCCCTTAGCTCCTGGCAACTACTAATCTACTTTCTGTCTCCATGGATTTATCTATTCTTTCCTTTTTAAATAAATGGGATACTATGATATGTGGCCATTAGTGTCTAGCTTCTTTCACTTAGCATGCTTTCATGGTTCATCTTTGTTGTAGCATGTATCAGTGTCCCATTACTTACTATGGCTGAATAATATTCTATCATATAGATACTCCACATTTTATCTGCATTTTAACTTTATTCCTAGGTGTTTTACTCTTATAAGTGAAACTGTTTCCTTTCTTTATTTCTTTTTTAAGACTTATTTATCTTAAGGGGGGAGAGGGAAGGAGTGGGGAGGGCAGAGGGGGAGAGAGAGAGAGAGAGAGAGTGAAGAGTGCAAGGCAGAGGGAGAGAATGAGAATCCTCAAGCAGACTCCCTGCTGAGCAAGGAGCCTGAAGTGGCACTTGATTCCAGGACCCTGGAAATCAAGAGTTGGATGCTCAACCGACTGAGCCACCCAGGTACCCCTTCTTAATTTCACTTTTGGGTAGTTCAATGTTGGTATATAGAAATACAGCTGTTTCTTGTACAGTGGTTTTCTGTCCTGCAAACTTGCTGAACTTGTCTATTAACTCTAATAGCTTTTTTGTTGTTGCTGGATTTTCTGATTGTCTGTATATAAGAGATCATGACATCTGCAAATAGAGATAGTTTTCCTTCATTGTTTTAAATCTGGAAGCCTTTTATTTCTTTTTCTTGCCTAACTGCCCTGTTTAAAAACTCCAGTATGATATTGAATACAGGTGACAAAAGTAGACACCCTTGTCTTGTTTATGATCTTAGAGGGAAAGACGTAATGGTGTTGGTTTCAAGAAGTGCTTTTTCTGTGTCTATTGAGATGATTGTGTCATTTATGTCCTTTACTCTATTAATACAGTGCTTACTTTGATTAATTTTCTAATGCTGAACCAACCATTCATTTCTTGGATAAATTTCACTTGGTTATGGTATATAGTCCTTTTTTAAATTCTGGTATATATAATGTTTTTTTTTCATTCTGTCTCCAGTTTGCAATTTTGTTGAGGATTTTTACATCTCTAAGGATGTAAGGAATATTGGTTTGTTGTTTTCTCCTTCTATTATGTCTTTGTCTGGTTTGATAAAAGAACAATACTGTCCTCCTAGAATGAGTTGGGAAGTGTTCTTCATGCCTATTCCTTTTTGGGGGAAGTCTGTGAATGACTGGTGTTAATTCTTTAAATGTTTAGTAGACTGTACCAGTGAAACCATCTGGTCCTGGGCTCTTACCTTTGTGAAATGTTTTATCAATTCAGTCTCTAATTGTTATAGGTCTATACGGATTTTCAATTTCTTTTTGAGTCAGTTTCAATAGTTTATGTCTTTCAAGAAATTCATCAACAATGATATAATATATACAATATATACTATATCATATATAATCTATAGAACATATACATTATAAAATGTACTTTGCCTTTAGTAACAATTTTTATCTTAGTTTTCTTTTTATGACATCAGTATAGTCACTCCAGGTGTTTCCTGATTACTGCCTGCATAGTATATCCTTTCCAACCTTTTAGTTTTAATCTTTGTTGAAAAGTAAACCACTGTCTTTGAATCTAAAATGTGTCTGTCACAGACAGCATATAGTTGGATCCTGTTTTTTTTAAAGATTTATTTAAGAGAGAGGGAAAGCACGTGCATGCACATGCAAGGTGGGTAGGGGTAGAGGCAGAGGGAGACTCAAA